AGTTGTGACGTTCCTGGCCGGTTTCCTGTGGCCGCAGAGAATTCGGCGATGGTGGGGATGCCCTCCTCCACTGTCATGCGCATGATGGTGCCGGGAGTAGGGTCGGCAGCTCGCGTGGCGAAGAGGTTGATCGCTTCGGATGGCATCCAGTCTGGTTGCGCGTCCCAATCGTGGTTGGCGTCGACCGCACGGAGAGTCTGAGCTGGCAGGCCCACTCTGTGGTAGTCTCGAGTCTGCACCAGTCGTCGCACCATGCGTCCTCCGTCGTTGATGCTCTCCCATCCCTGTCTCATCTCAGCGGTAGTGGAGGCTGGTGAGGCAGGGACCGTCCCGCCTTGGACCTCCTGTTCGTATCTCTCGAAGCGCCGCACTCCTTCTGATATTCTCTGCATGACAATCCGGTACGTCGCAGCGAGCTCCGAGAACGAGGCTGTTCCTTTCAGACTGCGTATGCAAAGGGAACGTGGATCAATCACAAAGGCCGGGTGCGGGGGATCGAGTAGAGAGGCGGCCGCATCCAGGCCGGCTTGAAGTTCGGCGGCCGTCTTAGACACCAACTGGTACAGCTCGTCTCGGACCCGGTGCCTGTCGTAATGGCTTAGCTCGCCCGGGGTTGCTATCCATAGCTCCAAGTCCATGGCTTCCAAGGTCGGTTCTTGACCAAGCATACGCGCTGACTCAAGGAGGCTGTGCTCCTCGTCTCTCTCCGTGCGTAATTCTTGCCCTAGCCTCACCATCCGAGCGGCCGCTTCATCGCGTGGTATGCTTAACGGATAGTGCGAGGAGTTGGAGGAATCCTCCGATGATCGAGAGGTGCGGGTGAGCGAAACAGCGGGGGCGAGGAGAGTGGTTGCCATGTCGATAGTGTCTCGGCCTGCTGGTAGAAGCAAGGGCGAGCGAGTGAGGGGCGAGTAAGCGGTCTCGCGTCGGGCTAGAAGTTCTGAGAGTAAGGGTGAAGACTCGGGTAGTTGTCTCGGGCCCGAGTCGAGGGTGGAATCGCTGAGCTCTCGTTGCTCGACTTTATCCGATGTGGGGAGAATGGGCGGAGACGGAGCGGGTTGTGGTGCTGGAGGCCAACGACCCAGCCTGTCCGAATGTGGTTGGGAGCGCGCGGCTCGTATGCGCTGCGCGTGCGCTTCCTGGGCGGCTGAGAGCGATCCTGCTTCCTTCACGAGGTTTCTCTCAGCTTCCGGGGGCGACAGGGAGTGTTCCAGGGAGGAGAAGAAGCTCTCCTCTCCTACGGTGAGATCGTGCGCGACCTCTAGCGACACGAAGTCGTCTATGGATTCGGCCAGGTTAGTGGAGAAATCCCTGTGCGTCCACCAATGTAACGCGGCAGGTGGAATTTCCCACTAGAGAACGTAGCGGAATCCGGAATTAAAGGAGAGACGTAGGATTAAGCGAATATAATAATTATGGCGTAGTCTCCAGGCTCGAGGAACTCGAGCGTGAAGTCTAGCCGGGAGGCGACCACCGAGTGGAAGGCTCCGATTAATATAGTCTCCTAATCCTGACGAATCATACCCAGTCTGCTGGGCCCCGGTCGACTACAGTCGACGTCGCTTAGAGTGGAGGTTGAAGGGACCGTCGTAGTCAAGTGTCAAGAAGTAAGTGTTCTATTGCTTGTAGAGCCATCAGTTGATGATGGCTCGGCTGCTTACGAATATATAGTGTGTAGGGTAAAGTTATGAAAGCGTGCGTACGAGAATCAAGAAATACCATCCGTGTCACAGACCATTGTGCGTATTCGTTGCGCAAACACTCCCTCTACCTGAGCGACACGCACTGCCTCGTCGAGGTTTGCGCTGAGCCCAGAAATGTCCACGCCCGCAGCGGAATTGAGGCAGGATATCTCCAGACCGGGTGAGATGCCACCGCTGATTCTCGCAGAGGTTTCCCTAGTGCATGCCATGGAGGCCATACCTCGATCCTGGCCCTCAGTGACAGACATGGCAAGCCCTCAGGCCAGCGCGATCTCGAATGCCATCTCCTTTGGGCCCGCCCCAGATGCGTACAGCGCTGCGGTCTCACCTGCCAAATGACCGGCTATGTAGGCGCAGGGCGGACACCCCCCGAGCTGAGCAAGTTGAATAACGCGATCTGCAGCATTGCGATCGAGGCCATGGTGATCGTCACAGGCCACGCGTCTGGATAAAGCTTTGTCCGGGTCGACCCTAGCGTCGGGCCACCTGCAAAGAGCCCTGGCGATTCGATGAGTGAGTAGCCCATTTCACGCGTGTAAACGTCGCCGAACTGGAGCAGCGCGGCCGTGTGTGCAGGTGAGGGCCGCAGATCCTCCGTTGCAGACATCAGACCGCTCTTCGTCGCGGCGCGGTACTCGTTCGTCACACCGGCCTCAGCAGTGTCGGTCACCTGGCGCATATGAGCAGGCAACACAATGGCGCGATAATGCGCACCTTCCACATCTTGGTTAGACTCTCCGCATCGTCGACGTTGCTGAAAGGGACAAAGGACTTATGGCTCTAGTTTGCAGAAGAAAGGACATCACAATCGAATGTCGCCAGGCTAAGAAGAACCAGAGGGGAAAGGAAGGCGAGAGGTAGGAGGCGGACGGTTTCGTGGACGTTGATGGAGTCGTTGGGGGCGAGTGGAGAGCGGCAAAGTGAGTACAGTCCCAAAAAGGAAGCAAGAGACGACGGGCCACAATCAGCGTGCGACGTGTCCAACGGGCAAAACACGGACCTTGAATTTGAGATTGAGGATGGCAGAGGACATTGTGGGGTGTACGTCGTCATCGTGAGCGTCAAAAGAAAGCGTCAATAGTCGTGATGGAGCTGCGCAGCATGGTGATGCTACAGTCGGCGCTGAGTGTACACGAGGCAGGCCCGCGTCCGGTTCCGAGATGCACGATGAACGCCCCTCGCGGTGCAATATTTCGAGATGGCGGACAGCAGAAGCTAGAGCGGATAGTGAGAGGTAGGCGGTGAGAAGAAACGCACCGGCAGATCGAGCCCCCATTGACTTCAATGCGCTCCGCCCATTCGCGCATCGAATTCCCTGTCCCAAGCACCTGAGATCTATATCCTGGTTCTGTTTGCCGGTCTCCAAGAGTCGGTCGTTGCGAGGTGTGCGATCGGTGCAAGTGGGAGATGACTGTATAGCTGCGCGCGTGTGTGATGCCGCAGATAGCTAGAGGCGCCCTGCGATATGAGGCCGCGCGTTCGAGTGCGCAAACAGAATTAACACATCTTTGAGTGGTTCTGGCAGCTCCGAATGGAGAGACTGGGAGATGGGTGGTTAGCTTGCAGTGAGGTGTCGCCAGTTGCGCGGTGTGTGTGATGACATAGATAGAAGACGTGCTGCGTGATGTGAGGTTGCGCGTTTGGATTTGGGCACAGGATGCACGCACATGCTCGAGACGTTGACATGTGCCCAAGAGCTATTCTGTGGACAGGTGAGCCATATGCGCCATTGCGCGCATGAACTCTCGAGTCGAGTGAATGGGGCGGGAGTGAAGATCAGCTGTCCTCAGAGATGAGGTGCGGTGACTTCAGCTTGGTAGATCGGCACAACGGGCGAGACAGACAGAGATACCAGAAACGATACAGCCAACCACGAGCGTCCCACGGTCCTAGTCGACTAAAGTCAGGATGAGTACATGCACAGAAGCGCGGATGCACGCACAATCGAAGCACATTGTAAAATTGACCCGATGACCCAAATCTGACCGCCGAGCTGCACTGTCGCCAATCGCCTCGATCGTGGGCACTGCGCACGCGTCGCCATTGCCCTCATATGGTGGGTGCGTTTTGTAGTACTCCTCGCACCTGAATGGCCGGTTCGCATACGTGAGCGGTGTGGGAGTCTGCACCGTTGAGCTCAGACCACTGGCAGCATGTGCGATCAAAGGGGTGGGACTTACAAAGGCAAATGTGTTTGAGAGCAAAAAGATCCCTAAGTCAATATGGACTGAGATTACCCTCGAAGCATCCAAATACAGCTTCGGCGGTCGTTCGCAGCTCCCAGTGAGGTGATCGAGCAGCGGTGCTGCTGTGCGATGCCACGAAAAGTGTGGTGTGTTGAGAGAGGTGAGCCCAAATGTCCAATTTCGGGGCATACATTGAGTGCACCTTTGAGCCTGCCTCTCCCTGTGCTCTGCCCACTCATCCATTGCACTCCTTTGCTCTCCTGCATCTGGGTTCTAGATCTTCGGGTCTCTTTGTCGTTTTGCACAATTCGTTTGTGACAAGTAGCTTGTTGAGGGTGCGCAATAGATGAATTGGAGAGGTGATCGGACAGCTGCACTATCTGAGCGATGCCGCAGACACCACAATGTGCAAACGTGAGGTGACGCCGTGGCTCCAATTTTAGTGCATGCGAAGCCTGCTGTCGAGTCTTTCTGGTGGGAAAGTGTCCCGGGTGGCTGACTGGGAAGACCGAGGCAGACGAGACAGTGCCGAGCGCAAAGCAGGTAGCCGTAGAAGACATGTATTCGAGCGCTATCATATTTACATGTACGCTAGGAGCGCCCTCGTGGGAATGAGCGCTCGTGTCGATCGAATGAGGCGGGGGTGAGGTGTATACGTGTCCGCTGGGGGCGTCGTGTTGGTTCAGGATCTGAGGGCTGGGTCAGATTGCATGGTGGGCACTCACCTGTCGACCCCGCCATCCTTTCCATGAAACCCTCCCTCCACTCGCCCTATACCCTCTGCTGCACTAGCCCTAGCCCTAGCTCCCCAGCCCATCCACCCCACACCCGTTCGTCGCTGGCCGCGGTTGCCTGGTCAGATGTATGAGCAGAGCAATGATCGCACAAGCTGACGTGACGGTGGTCACGAGACGTGACTCAAGAGATGTTTGACGAGGTTATCTCGTCTCGTACCTTCCACAACGTAGTATATATATTGTTTTGAGTAGTCTATTTGTATCATACGGTTCTCTAGGCACTTTTTGCTGTTTCAGATAGACCATAGACCCCCTGCGTCCCCATATGTAGAGCTGACGGCTGCAAGTGATGGCTGCACGGAGAGATCATGATATTTTGAAAGAACCGCTGAAGATAAAAATGTATAACTCGAGATCCTATATCCTTAAGTATGCAGCTAACGACCCATGTAATAAAAACACAAATGTTGTGTAGACTACATTCTGCGTCCCCCTCCCATCAAAAGCTCTGATGGGAAGTGATCATTTTGAGACCCTCCACGGATTTCGATATGGGATATGCACCATTGGCCGGAGTGGGGACGCCAGTATGCGCCATCTTACCCAGGACCCTAGCAACTATTTGCGCATTTTTCCAGATTTTTTAGTGGCCTTGGGCGGCCTAAACAAGAGGGAAGGCTGCAGGGGGGGTGTAGCCTATGTACTATTACTAGGATAAGAGACATAGGGCCTCGAGCACGGGCGTCGGCAGCGGGGCCTGCACGAGCCGCACGTGCGACGCTGTCCTGACGCCCACGGCGGGCGTCGCGTTCTGCGGCATCGGCACAATGAGATTGGTCAGGGCATACATCGCCCAATACGTCGCGGAGAGATCGTCCACGATGCGAGGCAGCACGCCCGGTTGAGGAGCTCCGCGAGCGGGGCGGAACTGTTGTGCAGCGTTAGGATCTGCATGAAGACGTCGAAGGCGGGACTAGGGTTCAGGTCGAATGCGGATCTGAGCACTGCGGCCAGGAGGAAGACATTGTTGTCGTGCGGGAACCTGTCCATGGGCCTGCGGTCTCGTGCACTGCTTGGATCGACGGATAAGATCGCTCCTGTTGCGGACGTACAACAGCGAGACATTCTGCGTTGAGCTGTCAAATATTCAAGTCAGCCCCCCCGCTGCACGTACAACAATCTGTGAAATCACACACCGCGCAAGACTGGCTGTGGGGCACGACACAACCGTCATATCCTCGACCGTGCGTCCGAAGATGGCGAGATACCCACCGCACCTAGTCTGAGCAAACATCCCAAACCAGCCGGGGGACATAACCGGCAGCCCCACCATATCGGTATGTGGAGTAAGCTTGTTTGAATTGGCCACACGCGACGCATTCAGGAACTCCGCGTTACGCTGCAGCGTGAAGCCCGTCGCAGTCGCATCCGTCACAGGGAGCAGCACGGGCACGCACTCCTCCAGCTGCACATGCATGACGGGGAGCGACAGCGTGACTGTCGTATTCGGGGCGTCGATGAGCGCCGGGAGCTGCTACAGATCCACGTGCCCAATTGTGCTCGCCGCGGTCCTCCGCTTCGGCAGCGGCAGCTGATACCTCTTGATCTGTGACAGCACAAGAATAATCCTCGGGAGGCTGGTGGCCTCAGGTGACTGGTCGAGCGTCAATGGAAAGAGGCTGTCCTTGTAGAAATCGGTCGCGACCTGGACCTGGACGGGGCTGTCCCCGGAAAAGGTCTCGGTCGTCAGCAGGCCGGACACAAAGATCTTGAGGAACGGGATCAGGAGGGTGGCGACGGCACAGCTGAAAGCGATGAAGGTGCGCGTGTGGAACAGAAGGCCAATGCTCGTGTAGGTGGCTGGCGCATAGAGAACAGACAAGCTCACAGGTTGAGGCACGTGGCTCGTGGGTCGTAGCTGATGACCAACGGTGACGGCTTGAACGGATCCGTCGTGTTCTCGAACCACTGCTGGTGTCCGCGCAAGGTCAGCTCAGCGTTGCCTTGTCATGCCCTGAGCAACAGCACCCACCACGAAGCTGCCGAGGTTCGAGATCGCGTTCGTCGTGCTGTGCGTAACGTAGTAGCGCAGCGTCTGCACCGTCCCATCGGCATAGATCACCGACAGCCGGGAGCGGCCCCACGTGTGCGGCGTGACCGTATATCCGACCCACCCGGAGGTCTTCGCATCCGCGTTCGATGTCCAGGTGAGTGCACCCGCAGGCGAGACGCTCATGCCCGCAACCGCGGAGGGGTAGTTCAGGAATAGCTTGGTCTACGAACCCGTGCGAAGGACGTAGCCGAGGATGCCCATCGCGACAGGGCGCGCGTTCGCCTGCAGCGTCGTGTCGATGGCGCGCACGGAGGGTGCCATGTGAAACCTGAGCGCTGAGCGCTGAGCCCGTACGTCTATTGGCTGCAGCACAGCCAAGGTCGGCACGTTCCAGAGGCTGACGCCCGCCTACTCGTCCTGTGCGTTGGTAGCATGTGGAACTGCCAGTCGTGCAATCCCTCAAACTTCTGGCTCTGATAGTACGGTGGGTTGCTGCCGTCCTCGGGCAGGAAGTGCCAACCTTCGAGAGGGCTGCTTGCCGCAGGGACGCCGAGAAGCGGCGGAAGGGTCCCGAGGAGCGGGACTACTTGCACGTATCCGGTGTCTCGACCGATATAGGGATCGAACAGACTGCACAGCTTGTTCGTCTGCGCTGCAGTCCGACCGGTGAAGATCTGCACAATCGTTAGCAGCACTCAGTGATGCTTGATAGATCAGCTCACGTTGTTGAACTCGAGGGGAGCTCCCAACGCCTCGATCTCGACCGCGACCGTTTGCGAGTTGCGCACGTCAAACATTAGTTCGATGCCGTTGCTGTCCGAGGGCCAGCGCCGCGCGACGTTGAGCAGAGATTCAGAAGGCAGAGTCGGCCCCAGATTTGCCGCAGCAAGGGTCGAGCCTGAAACAACTGCAGACTGACCGCGATGATACTGGGAGTTGCTCCCTCGCAGCGTCATCCTGCAAGCAACATTGAGCACAAGGCACACGCCGCACACGGAAAGCGCACTGACCAGTCGGCACGAAATTGAAGCTCGATGAGGCGAGTGTAAACGAGTGGAGCGTCTGAGAGTTCTTGACGAGCTGGAAGTTGAATGCGCTGGTGTTGACGCGCACGGTGCAAATGGGGGAGAGCGTGGACCAGTGTGCGGCCAGGGCCTTCTAGCCTGCGGCAGCTATGGTGTCTGCGGAGACGGAGCGTAAGCAGTCCTATTCGAAACAGCCTCTGGGCGGAGTGTGAGCTCGTGCTCATAGCTTCAGTGACGACTGACGCTTTCCGAGCCAGCTCGGTAAAGAGCGACTACGCGACTGCCAGGTGTCATTGGGGGGATGGATAGTCGTGCGTGCTCCTGTTCTCGAAACCACCGCCAGGGAAGTAGACAAGGACCGAGGGCAGATTGTCGGCTGTCGTTGTCGTCGGTGCATAGATATGCGCAGGACTTGCGTTCCCGAACTAGCAGTCTTTGGAGGCTCCCTCTGACACCGTCATTGTTACCATACCAGGATACATTGAGGAGCCGGCCGTACTAATCCAGTCGGTGGGGACACCGGAGCCGCCCATCGCTTGGGCGGCTCAGCGTATCTGCGATGCTCGAAATCCACCTAACATTACAGTCGTCAGTCAGTAAGTCCGATACTGCGAGGACGAACGCACAATTGAGTGTCCAAGACACGGCCTCGACTGACAGACCGGCGACAAGCGAAGCATAGAATAGTGCGGCCGATAGAAACGAGGTGTCACCGCGCGTCAACATCCCGGTAGCCATTGAAAGACCGCGGCGCGCGTTTCCCTGTTTCAGCCAGTAAAGGTGCGCGGATGGGGCCGATGTCGGAATGATACAGAAGGCGGTTTGGCGCAGGTGGCCGTCGAACTGCGTACACAGCGCGTTCGATTTTGTGATGTAAGCAGAGCGCACTTTTGAGTGGGGGGGCAACGCGGGACTTCGAGGTGGCGAAAGTGCGAGTCAGATGGTGAGAAACGCACCTATGGGCTTTAACCCCATCCAGACTGTATCCCGGCGCTCCGCCTTCTCACTCATCTAGTTCCCCAACCATCGCGCCTCTGAGTGCGATCTCCCCGGGTTCTATCGTCGGTCTCCGCGAGTCGGTCGTTCCGAGTCTCTTGTCGGGGCTGCTTGATGAGTACAGTGGAGAGGCGATCGTTCAGCTGTGCACCCTGTGCGATGCTGCGGAAACCACGATGCGCAAGGTGAGGCAACGCCGTGCCTCCAATTTAGGGTGCATGTGGCGCACCCTTTCGAGTCGTTTCGATAGGAATGTGGAACGAGATGTAGAGGCGGTGGACGGTAAGAGGTAGGTAGTGAAACTAGCTCACCTGCAGACTACTGCCCCATCCGCGATCTGGAAGTGCTCCTCCCCCTCTTCCATCCATGCCCACCGCCTTCGAATCTTCGAAATCCGTTGTTCTTGCGTATTCGTTCGTCACCGCCTATAACTGCTAGTCGGGGTGCGGAATAGGGGCGAGGCAGATACAAGTGGAAGTAGCGGTGACGCAGCTGAAGTGGTGTCTTCCGGGTACCCTGCTGATCCTACTCCCGACACCGGGAGTCTTCTATCATTGTCGATGACAAGCGAATCTGGCAGGGCCGGGAGCACAGACTACACAGTCATTGGATAGTGCAACAGTTTCTACATGACCAGTCCAAGCCGGAGGAATGGCACAAACGATACATATAATGAGAGATCAGTACGTGCAAGAGTAACAGAGATAGCACAAACATATATGGGACGAATTTCAGATTGGATCCGCTCGATGAAGCCAGCAGGTCGTAGGAGCGGCCTTGGAGGACGGACAGTGGACGGGACGAAGGAACGCTTGCGATACCCCGAGTGACACGATTAAGCCCTCGGGAATGAGGTGCGCCAGAGCACAGTAGATTTTTGGCCAGAAATCCGTGCATTTAGTGGCTGGATATTCCGTGTGGCTAAGTACGCTATTCAGCTTCGGTCGCGTCGTTCCTCTCCTGCGCATCCCAGTTGGTGTCAAAAGAGAGCGATGGACCAGATGTCCCATTCTACGCGGTTGCGGTAAAGCGATTTTGGCAGGCTTCCGCGTGCAGTATACCAACAGACGTGGGTGGTTAGCCGGCTGAAGGTTCAGCGTCGTAAGAGACTCACCCAAAGTCCCCGAAGTTCTATGCGCGTCGCGGCACGTCCCAGACCTTCCTCCACCTCCTCTGGCCTCGAGCCGCCCCGTCCTTTCTCCACAAGCGCGTTCGTTCGTTCGGAAGTCGTTGGTCGATAGTGGGCGTTGACAGTGATGGATGCGCAGATGCGAGGGGATCGTGACCCTAGTCACAATTGATGGATGTTGCAGAGTTTGTTCCGTCAGACTCATAGCCAATCGAACCAAGGTAATATAACAGTCAAGATTGCGCATTTCCTCGCATATGTCTATCTATCAATTCAGCTGAAAATACCACGGATGTTGTAGAAACTAATTGCTGCGTCCCCGTACATCAAATAGTCTGATGGCCTGGCGAAGTCGATCTGAGACACGCTTGAAAAGCCTGAAGGGCGCCTGTACACCATTCCGTTATTGAGACTTATTAGCAATAATTTTCCGCTTTCTTCGAATTTTCGGACAGGTATTAGGGCCTGTGTTCCCGAAATGATACTCTGTAGGTATAGATTTTTGACTACGTAGTATGGAATGTTCACCGAACCTGCTCGTGTTTCCAATGGGATCGCATCAGGAGGGTTAGTTACTACTTCTTATATGCCGATAGATACTGCGTTCAGGCAGAGACTGCATGCAGGACAATCGCATGCGTGAGCCTGCCATCGTGTGTTACTCGTGTGTAAATGGGGGTCGAGCATTATGTTTCGTGATTTTAGGAATTCCGATGGTAATTTAGAAGTATCCACCGCCCTTCGGGAACACCTCTCGACCGAAATCGCATTATTTCCCCACCACTTGGGCGCCGGCGTGACCTTGACGCGCAGAGAAGCAATGAACGGATCACTGTTTCAAGTTGTATCCTGTGTCGGCTGCAGCACCCGCGATGTATGC